CTGGACTACATTGGGTTTCTTGTAATTTTTGTTCTTAGTTTTTGTTTTTTTTTTGTGTATTTAACATGAATTTGATTTTCTAGGGTTATAATTATCTACCATGTTTTTGTTGTTGTTGATGTTTTTGTTGTTGTAAAATCAAGTCATTCAATACTATAAACTACTGGAATATTTAAAAAGGTTACATTAAAGATATGTGGAACTTTTGTGGAATGTGTGATTTTTTGGATTAGAAACAAAACTGAACTGAATTTGAAAAAAAAAAAAAATCAAAAAATTATTATTTGAAATATAAATTATTCACAATTTGAAACCAAAACTAATTTACTATTAAAAACAAAACAAATTGCAATTTTCTATTCTACAAACTAAGGCCAATGCAAAACATAATTATAAAGAAAAAATTTTAAAACAAAAACAGAAGAATTTAAGTAAAACAATAATAAACGAAACAAGAAATAAATATTGTTGTTAACACAAATTCCATTTAGTTGCACTTTTTTGTTCGCAATTTTAAATTATTTTCTTAATTTAAAATTCTAATTACTTAATTTTAATATCAAATTACTTTTGACTTGATTTGTTTTGTTAAGTGTTTTTTTATTCTCTTTCATCAATTTTATCCTTAAAATTTTCCGTTTTATTAAATATTAAAAAAAGTGTTGAGTGTTTGTGTTTCTGAAAAAAATATGTCGACTGCTATGAACTGGACGTTTCTTTTTTTTTAAAGAGGATCAAATCTTCAACTGGACACAAAGTGAATGTTTGAGATTCAACAAAATTCTTATAGAGAATAACGAAAATCTTATATTATTTTTCTTTTAAAATTGCTGTTCAATGATTTTTAAAAGAATTTGTATTTCATTAAAGTTCACAAAATATAGCATCTGCCAAAATGTCAATACCAAACTGGTTTCAATGCGTCTTTGAAGAATATACTTAAGAAACATGTAATCATGAGTATAGGTTTTATATAAAGATTTAAACCAGTTTGATATGTAGATGACGTCATAAGGACCTAACAAATGTAAGTACCATTTTGTACTTTTCGGTCATTATATAGGACATTCCAACTCTATGCTTCACCCAAATATTAAATTTAGTACCATTTAATACTTTATAGTAAGTACTCACAAAGCTACCTCCAAATCTTAACCCTACACATTAAATTTCAGGATTCCAGAACTATCGCTTCACACAAATCTAAATTTAAGTACGAATTTCCAAAACTTTCTTCATACCCCAACCCTACACTGCAACAGCAATCCCAGATTTAAATATTAGGATTCCAGGACTATCGGTACCTCCAAATTCAAATTGTATCAAATTTAGTACATTTTACTAAACATAAGTACAAATTTCCATAACTGCCTACATCATACAATCCAATAGAAACCCTATTTCCAAATCTACAGGTTCTTCCAAAATTCAAATCGTAAAAAATTAAGTACCATTTTTATACCCTCCACCAAAAAAGGTATGGAGGGTATATTAAGTTCGTCATTCCGTTTGTAACTCATCGAAATAATCATTTTAGACCCAACAAAGTATATCTATTCTTGATCAGCGTAAAATTCTAAGACGATTTAGCCATGTCCGTCTGTCTGTCTGTGTGTATGTCTGTCCGTCCGTCTGTCTGTGTGTATGTCTGTCCGTCTGTCTGTCTGTTGTAATCACGCTATCTTTCGAACAAATTGAGATAGAAGGCTAAATTTTTGCGACATGTATATTTTGCCGTAGGCAGGTTAAGTTCGTAAATGGGCCATGTAGGTCCACGTTTTCATATAGCCCCCATATAACGGTACCTCCCGATATTCGGTATTTTGATGATTTTAGCGACATTTTTTACCGAAATTGTTTCAAATTTGGCATTTGAAATTCGTAATCGATACTACAGCCAAAGACAGAAAATAATCTGTGCAGGTCCACGTCTTCGTATAGCCTGCACAGACAATTTTCTGGCATGGGCTGAAGTATCCATTACGAACTTCACATGCCAGAAAATTGTCTGTGCAGGTTCACGTCTTCGTATAGCCCCCATATAACGGTACCCCCTATATTCGGTATTTTGATGATTTAAGCTACATTATAAACAGATTTTTCTTCAAGTTACGCATTTAAATATTGTGATAACTTATGACAAAAGTTTCCTATGCAGGTCCACGTCGTCGGATTCGGTATTTTTAATATTTTAACAGAATTTTTAACGGATTTTATTTTTTTGGAAATTGCCAAATTTGTACCAAATGGTGGAGGGTATTAAAAGTTCGGCCTGGCCGAACTTACAGCTTTTTTACTTGTTATATATAAGAACGAATTTCCAAAACTACCTACATTCACCAATCCTACAATGCAATCGTAATCTCGGTTCTCCCAAAGTTTAAATTGTAGCAAATTTAGTACCATTTAGTACACATTAATACGAAATTTTCAAACTACCTACATACCTAAGTACCACTTACAATCTTATTTGCAAATTTCAGCATTCCAGCTCTATTGGTTCGCCCAAATCGAAATTGTACCAAATTTAGTACCATTTAGTACTTTTCGTTCACATTTGAAAACTACCGCCATATTCAAATCCCACACTTCGCCAGTAATGCGAATTTAAAATTTCAGGTTTGGACGTCAGTGTAATGCTAACGATATATAGATGGAGCTAAGAACGGTTGGTTGATAAATTTCAATTATATGCTTCATAAGATTAGTATAAACTAATCGATCTAAGAGTTGGTATTTTAATTGGCACCGTATTACGTATTTACAACAAAGTGGAAAACAGTATACGAAAAACAACAGACAATATTTATAGTAAAAAAAATATGTAAGTTCGGCCGGGACGAACTTTGAATACCTTCCAACATTTGGAACGAATTTGGCAATTTTCAAAAAAAAAAAAATAAATAAATAAATAAAATAAATAAATAAATAAAATCCGATACACACTTCTGTTAAAATCTTGAATATACCGAATGTATCCGTTATGAAGTCCACGGGTCTACACGTCGACGTGTCATAAGCCATTACAATATTCATATGCGAAAGTTGAAAAAAAATCGGTGAATAGTGTAGCTAAAATCATCAAAATACTGAATATATTGGCGTACCATTATGTTGGGTCTATACCAAAACGTGGACCAGCACAGATAATTTTCTGTCATAGACTGTAATATCCATTACGAACTTTAAATACCAAATTTGAAACAATTCCGGTGAATAATGTCGCTAAAATCATCAAAATAACGAATACAGGGAGGTGCTATTATATGGGGGCCTACCAAAAACTCGGATGGGGTCCTCCATAGGACGTTAATAACAAAATTGCTAAATTTTTATCTAGTATACCAGACTTTCCCATAGATTCAGTAATTCAGTTTACCCGCTATCTTGTTTTTTAACAGTTTTTCTTTCATTTTTTTTTCAAGAAAAGTCTAAAAGATTGCGCCCCTTAATTTTTTCATATTTTTAAGGTCTCAATCACAATTCCTTCTTTCTTGTCTAGAAATTTAATTTTCGCTTTAAGTTTTAATTTTCTCCCCCAAAACAGTACAACTTAGTACTTTATAATTTACCTGAGTTTGGAGTATCACATTCAACACAATTTTTTTGCTTTTAAAAATGATTATGGGCACAGACAAACCTCACCAACTTCCACCGAATCAAATGTTGTGTTATGAGAACATCTACAGCTGTCAATATGAATACATAACTAATTTTAATTATTCAAATCAAAGATAAATGTGTTTCAATTTTATAGTTCAGGAAATGCATAATTCATAACCTATTATAGGCATGAACGCCAACATTACCATGTTGAATTCGCATAAAGTTTATTTGATTTCAAATTAAAAAAAAATCTCAAACTTATTTCGTGGTCCAGTTGAAGAATTGCACAGAAACTTATAAAAAAACTAAAAAGTTTTTCTTCAAGGGTTCTTTGTTTTTCGGTTTTGTTGTCGAAAAAAAAACTTTTTCAATTTTGAAAATTTTAATTTTTACTGAAATTCATGGTGGATGCTAGACATTTTTTTTTTAAATAATATTTTTTTTATTTCGGGGGAAATTAAAATGGAGCAGCAGCAGAACGAGGGTTTAGCAGGATATATTTGTGAGAGCCAAAATATAAAAAAGAGAGAAAAACAAGAGAAGAGATGAATTTCAAATTTTGTCAAATCCAATCACAACGAAAAAAGTATATAAATTTATTCGATTTGTTACTCCTTATCGATTCATAAGTGATGTGTTGGGAATTCATGGAAAGGAGGTGCAAAGGAAATAAAAAAGGAAAAAAAGAGAAACAGAAATCACTTAAACACCCATAGATTTTTTGGGGAAATGGCCAAAGGAAAGAGGAATTAGGAAAAAAAGGAGAATTGAAAATAAAATTAAATATATTCTGGCTTTTGGCTGAATAACAACAAAAACTAGCCTAAATCCAACAGGAATCCTAATTCGACTTTTCTTTTCTTTACTTCTTTTTTATGGTAAAGGATATTTTTGGCATAAAAGGGATTTTAAGGATAATTGGGGATTTAACGAAATTTACTTTTAATAAATGATGAATTGAGAAAATGATGAGAACTATTTTGTTTGTTTGCGTGTAAACAAAAGAGAAATGTAATTGTATGTATGTACGTGTAAAGTACCTAAATGTGAATGTGAAATGTAATGTATGTTTTGGTAAATGTTTGAAAAATGATTTCTTCCCTAGCAATGTTTTTTCTTTGTATTGTACTCAAACTATACTTATTTATATATGGAGATTTTGTTTTTGTCATAATTGTTCTTTTTTGTAATAAATTAAAAAAAATAAAACCAAACTAAACAATTTAGCAGTTTTTTTATATGTAAAAATTTATGTATACATAATTTTCAATAAATACTGTAATCTATTTTTTTACTATTTGTTTGTTGTGATAAAACATATAAATACATATACATATAAACTATTGTACAATTGTATACGCGTTGGTGAAAATATGGAATAATTGTAAGCTTACCTGCTGCCATAATGGGTTCACCGATGTTGACATAGAATAGAACATCCTTCTCATAGCTGCCTTCCTCAATAATGCCTATCGTTATGGTTTTTCTGCAAGGGGAAAATAGAAGAATATTTTTTAATTATATAGAAAATAGAGAAAGGGGAGGGTGATAAAAATAAAAAATAAATAAGTCAAAAAGTATATGTCGGTTTTGACAAAAGTAGAATCAAATCGACAAAGTTTGAAAACAAATTTGTTTAATAGTTTCGATTTATAAGTAATTTTGATGAATGATATGGAAAATTATTAAAAATACCGCTATGTATAATTTTATGTTGCTTTTATAAACCCATATAAAAATACAGGGTGAGATAAAAAAATTGCAACAAAGTCAAAAGCCATAATTTTTAAATGTTTTTCTTCATTTTATTGAATGGAAGCAAAAAAATGTCGGAAATGACATCAATTCTTAGGATAAGTTTACATTTGTTCGAATTGGTCACTTTTGGCACAAATTATGGTCTTCCAACGGTCACACGCTGCCCGAATGTTGCTCTGCCGTATTTTGGCCCATTCCCGGCGAAGCGCTTGCTTGCTTTCAAAATACTCCAGACACAATAGTCCAACGGATTGGTATCCGGATATTTTGGTGGCCATAGTGCGCTGGAAATGAAGCGAGGAACCTCATTTTGTAACCATTCATGGGTGGCGCCTGCTGAGTGCGATGGTGCTGAGTCCTGTTGGAATGTCCAAGGTCTGCGGCTAAAATGTTTGCGTGCCCCAGACTTTACTACACCCTCCAGAAGATGTTCGCGATATTTGGTATTTGTTCTTATACAACGGTCGATTAATACGAGCGGAGAACGACCATCGTCTGTTATGGCGGCCCACACCATCACCATGGCCGGCGCTTGAGTTCTGTTGGCCAACCGAAGTTGCACATTTTCAGCCGACATCTCTTTGACAAGTAAACACGAAAATTTTGTTTGTTTACAAACCGCTGGACAACGAATGTTTTCTAATCTGAGAAAACAAAATTCGGCATTTCACCACTTTCGGCCAAGCGAAGCAACTCTTTAGCTCTTTTAAGTCTATTTTCTTTCTGTTGCGGTGTGAGATCTGGTACTTTTTGGAATTTCAATGGCTTTTCCCCGAGCTCAGTTTTCAATATTTGCCGCATGGAATATTGCGATATGTTTCGATCAAGTCGCTCCTTTTATTTTCGATCCATTTCTGGTGATGTTGCTGTTTTCTTCCGTTCACTTCCTTGGCGTCGGGCTACGCTACCAGTATCACAGTAACGAGCGATGGTACGAGACAAAAATTTATTCATATTTAAATGCTGGAGTGCTCTAACGATGGCCACTTGTGGTTTTCCAGCCAAATATAAAGAAATCACACTATCACGCTTGAGTTCCATCACGAATAACTGCTTTTCTAGAGCATTCTCACCAAAATGCTTTTGTACGCTTGTAAACAATATAATAAGCGGTCACTGCAAAAATTTTAACAGCTGTGTGTATGTCTTGTCTTCCGAAAAAAATAAATTAATAATTTTGTCCAAAATAATGGCAAATATGACTAGAAAAAAATAATTAAAACGTAATCAGGGATTATAAATGGGCTATACCGAAAAGTGTTCCAACATGTCTTATATCAATGATACTTGAAGTAATCTGTATTAAATATTGCAAAATATAGAGCATAATATTGAGGTCCATTTGAGCAAGGTATATTACGATCCTAACCACGTTTGGCTGGAGAACTCAAAAAAAATTTGTTGTTTTGATCAACAAATCAAATACTACTACAGTTCGATTGGAATTTCCCAAGACCAGATTAGATGCTGCACATTGAAATGTAAATAAAAAAATACAGTCGAATTCCGAATGCACTTATTATTTATTCCGGTTTATAATGAAAAAAACAAAATGTTCAAATGGCTACCTCGGCCATGCGTTAGCCTACAGGATTGCGCCAATTTTTATGAATATTTTCAATTGTTGTCGGCTTTACCCTTTGTTGGGGACCGATATTGTCAATTTTTGCACCTAACATAGCAATGATGCAAATATTAGGATTTGCAAAGTTGGTGACAGTTGGTCGAACTGTCCTTTCTCTTTCTGTGCAGTAATATACTTTTTTTTTGAAAATATCGACCTTCTGTGGGGGAGGTACAGGAAGGAGTGGACCGATATTGCCCATCTCCGAACTCGATCAAAAGTTGATAATAATATTACGATGTACGAAGTTTGAACAATTGAATCGGATACTCCCTCCAAGAATTATCGTGCGCATCAGGCAGCCAGACAGACGGACGGACATTGCTAGATCAACTCCAAATATCCTGAAACGGATTTGTTCCAAAAACACATAGGGTCGATGAGGCCGTATCAAATGCTATATACCCACTCTAGCCCTATGGACGTGGGTATAAAAAATGTGAAATTAGTGACCGATTTTCTTAAACATTCTGACTTATTTGTATTCCGCTTGTAACAGCTCTAAATATTCGTCGTGATCAGCATAAAATTCCAAGTCAATTTAACGATGCGCCTCTGTCTTTCTGTGCGTTAAAATCACGATACAGCTTATTGTGTGGATGGATGGTATTGAAAATTATAAATATCGGTCCACGTTTTCGCCCAGCCCCATACAAGGGTGCCTCCGTATTTTGATGATTTTAGCCAATTTTTTTTCGACGGAATTGTTTCATATTTGCTATTGCGTGTTTGTGACGAGATCTACCTTCGGTGGCAGAGGGCAATACAGGTTCAAGTTTTCCTGAAGCATCCATACAACTGTACCTTCCAATATTTGGTATTTTGTGATTTTAGCCCCATTTTTCAACGGAATTGTTTTAAATGTTGTTTATTCCAAGTTTGTAACGGGTTCTACCTCTGGTGGCTGAACATAGTCTGTATGGGTTCAGGTCTATGCTATAGCTCTCATATAATGGTACTTTCAGTAAATCGGTATTTTGATTAAAACCACATTTTCTAGTTAATTTGTCTAAAATTTGTTATATGTAGTTTGTAATGGGTTCTAGCTTCGGCCGTTGAACATTATCGGCAAAGGTCCATGTTTTACTATAGTATCCATATAACAGTTCCTGCAGATATTCGGTATTTTTATGATTAAGGATACATTTTCCATAGGATTTGTTTCAAATTCTGTATTTGTAGTTCATAATTCTACATCCGATGTCAAAACATTGTTCATACCGATATTTTGATGATTCTAGCCACATTTTTCCAATGTGTTTTGAATTCCCTATTTAAGACTTGTAATACATAACAAACCTCGTTTTAGAAAATTGTTACCGTTTTAGTATGTTCCCTATATAACATTTCCACAAACTCTATTGCATTGTAAAACTTCCACTGAATTCTTCAACTGATCTCACTGGTACTTGCAGATTAAAGTGGAACACATTTCATTTCAGATACTTTCATTCAAAAATATTTTTTAAATAATTGCGGAGAGCATTGAAGGTTCACCCCGGCTGAACTTAATGTTTTTTTACTTGTTTTATATGTCGGTTATCTTTTACATTCTTACTTATTTCAAAAATACGTCCAAATACCAAATTGCGGTAATAAAATATATATCAAAATAAAAATGTTCCATCATTCTATAAATAAACCAGACATTCACATTCAAATTACTCTAACATTATCGAAGACCATCAAAAAAGTTAAGAGCCATTATTTATACGAATGATTTTGTTTTTTATGATTTTGGACAAGTTAATTGGAAAATTTTTTTTTTGTATTTGAATGAAATTGTTTGTCATCGAGACCACTTGAAGAGTCCCATCCATCTCATTGGTGATTAGGATACGAATCAGACGACAATAATGGGCATCTTGAATGAGTCTTGAAGTGTTTGGGCAATTTATGATTGAATATTAGGAGACGAAATGACTGAAAAATAATGAAATGTACAATGTGATATTTTAAATTTGCAAAAGTGTATTTAATCTGAAACATTGAGATGTAAAAATTATATTGAATACTTTGTTGCCATGTTGTGAGGAATGTCTGGTATACTCTCCAAAAATGTGATTTATCTAATTCTTGGACTATATTGGGCACTTCCTACACTTTATATGAGATATGAGATTAGAAAAATTCATTCCATTTTCATACTTCATCTTATACCGATAAAAATATTGCAAGAAAAAAAAAAAAAAAAAAAAAAATATATATATATATATATATATATATATATATATATATATATATATATATATATATATATATATATATATATATATATATATATATATATACGTGGATCTGCACAGACAATTTTCTGTCTTAGGCTGTAGTATCCATTTGAGCAAAAATTTTTATCAATCTACTTCAATTCGTTCGAAAGCTATGTCCACAGACGGACAGACGGATACACGGACAGACGGACGGACATCGCATCGCTAAATCGACATAGAATTTTATGCTGATCAAGAATATATATATATACAGGGTTGCCCATATTCGACGGACCCATCTGGCAACGCCATAACTTTTGACAGAGATGTCACATCGCTTAATGACATACCGCGTTTGAAGCGTCAGTCCATGAACCAATACACGCCACGCAAGCGCTCTGAAATAGTTGAAATTTACATTCAACAGAAGAAGTCAATTGTGAAAACTCAACGTGCTTTTAAAACATTAAAAAATGTGAGAAGTTCGCCTTCTAAGAACACCATTAAGCGTTTATACGAAAAATTTTCGACTGGTAAGGCTCTTTCTAATCCGAAGAGGCCATATAAAAGTCGACCAAGGCGATTGGCCGAGAATATCGCTGCCGTATGAGCCAGTGTTGAGAGGTCCCCAAGAACATGCCAAAAACGCCGTTCTCAGCAGTTGGGCATGGCTCGGTCCACTTTACAACGGATTATTCGCATTGATTTGCATTTGTTCCCGTACAATATTATCATGTCCGATGAAGCCCATAACACATTGAATGGGACCGTAAAAAAGCAAAATTGCCGTTTTTACGCCAATGAAAATCCTCAAGAGATTCAAGAAGTGCCTCTTCATGACGAAAAAGTCACAGTTTGGTGCGGCGTTAGTGTGAAAACGGTCATTGGGCCGTT